AATCTGTGTTCTAACGGAACATTCCGCTATTTCTGTGTATGGTTCGCCACATCATTTTTTTAGTAGGATTAGTTTGGATGAGTTGTCTCTCTCTCCCAACCTTTGGCCCCACATGTCAGCACAAAGAAGCCATATGCCAATAGATTTAGTTCACTGTCTCACTCTCTCTCACCCACCCACCCACTCATTCCCATTCCTCTCCCTCTCTCCTCACATGAAGAACAAGGATGAACTAGAGAGAGAAAGGGAAGGGGAAGAGGAGAAGGAAGATAAAGAAAAGAATAAAAAGAAGAAGGATTTAGCACCTCTCACAAGCATCAATAGCATCTCCATCTCCATCTCTATCCGTGGTGAGCTCAGGAGCTCTCTCCTCTCAATTCTTGAAATCATCTCTCCAACCCTAACTCTTGATTTTGCGTGGATGCAAGATGAAGCTTGGTAGTTGCTCCATCATCTCAAGAGTAAGCTCAAGATCATCCCTAGCTCAAGCATCTCATGAATCTCTCAACTTTCTCTCTAATGCATTTCTATGCATTTTTGCAAGAAAACTCATGAATGGACAAATCCATCTCTTTTGCTTGGAAGCAAGGATAAGCAAGTGCCCATATCTGATCTTGGTGGCCTAGAGGTCACCCAATCTCAAAGATAAGTTACCATGCCTAAGTTCATGAAGTAATCTATCTTTTTCTCATGATTTAAAGGAATTCCAAATGACTATGCTAACTAGAGCTCAAAACCTCTTGCTCGACTCGCCGCAGTGGCATGGTTGTCATGCCGCCCTCGTGGTGTGTTTGGGCTCGATGAGGCATGGCTACAACTATGCAGTAGATGGAGAGGGTGAGAAAGGTGGTATCAAGTTAAAATTTTAAAAAGTTAGTGTTTTTATAGTACATAAAAACAAAGTGTTACAATTTGTATCACAATTTAGCTCCTCCCGAGACCAAGCAATCAACTCAATAAACTACGGCCGAGCCATGAATATGATAGGCACCCTTTGCATTCCAACAAATTAAACATTTTCATAATCATCAATCGCCACACTTCCTCCATGATATAAGGTTACTAACTGGTCCATCCAATTACTAAGTAACAAAACGTGACCTGACTAACTAAGGCCCTGTTTGGTTTCTACAGACGCTCTTAAAATTCCTGTCACATCGAATGTTTAGACACATGCATGGAGTATTAAATATAGACTAATTACGAAACTAATTACACAACTTACGACTAATTTGCGAGATGAATCTTTTAAGCCTAATTAGTCCATGATTTGACAACGTTGTGCTATAGTAAACATGTGCTAATGACAGATTAATTAGGCTTAAAAAAATCGTCTCACGAATTAGCCTCCATCTATGTAATTGGTTTTGTAATTAATCTATATTTAATGCTCTTTATTAGTATCTAAACATTCGATGTGACATGAATTTTAGGAGCGACTAAAGAACCAAACACCCCCTAACTATTACTAACTAATTAAATAACTACTAACTAACTAGCTAGCTAACTAACTACTAAGTAACTAACTACCAAACTACTTACTAAGTAACTAATAACTAGTAATAACTAATTAAGTAAATACATCTACTAAGTAACTAAATTAACTAACTAAGTCACTAAATTAACTCACTAATTAATTAACTAAGGAACTAAATTAACTAACTACTTCACTAATTGATGCTAATTAGTAATTAACTAACTAAATTACATACTACAAAAATTTTACTCGTGGGACGGTGGCATGGGCAGTGGCGAGACTAGGCAACACGGTGGTAGGGACGGGCACTAGTCAGCCCGCCCTGCCACGGGACAACGGCCTCTGCGTGCCCGCGATAAGGTGTCGTGCGGCAGGGGGTGAGGCAGTCGGTGCGGCCGTGCGCCCTGGCGGGGAGGTGGAGGAATGTGGGTGGCGGCAGGTGGCCGGGTAGGCGGGGACGCGAGTGCAGCGGGGCCAATGGTGGCGAGCGTGACAGGATGTCACGATAGAGAAAGGAGAAAGAAAGAGGAAGTAAGTAGAGAAAGAGAGAAAGAGAGAGGAAGGAGAAGGTCACTTGGCTTGTATGTTGTGAGCTTGGCGTCGAGATCAACATCATGGCCCATGGTGCCGTCGTCCACTTCAACGCCACATCAAATAGCCACGCCACCCAACCCAGGAGGCTTGGCACCATGTCCTACGGTGCTGAGCCGTGTTTCCTCGATGCTGTAGATCACGGTGCCCCCGTGGGTCCAAACATGGGTTTATAACGCCCAGGATATAAATGTAAATATTTTTTTAAAAAGGTTAAAAATAAAAAAATTAGGGCCCTTAGCTGGCTACTTTTGTTTTAGATGATGTCTAAAGCAACTAAGGCTATTTCTAGTAGAGAGTTTTATAACGTTATTTTCAAAATTGTATAATGCAATAAAATATGAAAGAAACAATTACCCTCAATGTATAATTCCATTCTTTATTTCATAGACATTTAATTATATGACTCGTCTAGAGTTGATAATCGAGTCAGGAGGGTTTCATCTACACCCTCCCCACCACACAAAAAAAAGCAATTCACATTTATCAAGAAGTCAAAAAACTTTAAATTTGACTAAATTTGTATGAAAAAATACTAAACTTTATGACAAAATAATATAATTGGATTAGTTATGAAATATATTTTTGAATTAAATATTGTCGGCACGAAATTTCGTCCCGTGCTGAGGGCACACGAGCAAGCCGGAAGGGTCTGCTCGATGGAGCTGTAGATCCATCTGGCTTCAACGTAGGGGTGGTCGATCCTACGTACTCCTCCTGAGACGTGCCAGTCAATTTGATCCTACAATTGATAAGAAGAGAAAGCTAATCAATAATTTAAGGCGGAACGTGCCGGTGTTGCCAGACAGTCCCGAATATGCTTCTCTGAGATCCGATATGAAAGGAGATCGACTAAAGAGTCAATTCCAGCATACTCATAAGAATAAATCAGTTAAACCTCATGGGGTTGTGTAAGAAAAATTGGTTATCATTCAGAATGAATATCGTTATTTAGACAAATATTTGTCAATGGCAATAAGATGTCAACAATAATTAGTTTATACTAAGTAAAGAACTGCAAGTAACCGAATCCCTTTTATATAAAAGAAAACAATTCATCATCATTTAACCATTTAATAAAGATAAATCTAATGAACATATTAGATCTCATATATCGCTATGACCAGTGGGGCATGAGACAAAATCATGCAGGCCGTAGAAATAACAATAGATTCGACGACCCTAACTTATTACTAATATCAGTGAGGTATGAGGTAGAATCATGCAGGCCGTAATACAATAATAAAGATCATGGGGCTAACACATCTTTCAACCTATCTTTACTTCAACGGTCTCGTGACGTGAACTGTTCATTAAAGCACTCGATATCGACTAAAACAGCCGATTCAAGCATAGCGCACAGTTAAGGTTATGCCCTATCAGGAACAAATCTACCAAATAACGATTCTCACTCCACGGTGCTAAGAGTGGGGTGTGAGGCAGAATCACATAGGCCGTGATAACGTGCCATGGAACGGTTTTCGCTAGCCAATAGATCTACTCAAGATCAGACATGTCTTAACCGCATACTATGCACGATCAAGATTGACATAAAATAGCCGATAAAACATAACTTATCGTTTAAAGTGTAGATTAGATTAAATTTAGATTAACGAACGATGGGTTAAAAAGGATATAAGGCCAATTTAGATCAATCCCAATCGGGCGAAGTGATATTATTGTAATCAAATAAATAGTAAAAATAATAAGCAATATCGGTAACTTAATGAATCTATCCGAAGAAACGCCACTCTTACATAGAGCCGATAACTTGACCATAATCTAGTTCGAGCAGTGGAGGTCGACTGGATCGATGCAGCCGTACTTGAACTAAACAAGAGTCGATAACTAACTTATACCAAAGTCACAGTGGAGGTCGATCGGATCGATGCAGCCGTACGAACAGAAGCATAAGCCATGACGGTACTTACACACAAGCCGGAGGTCGACCGGACCGATGTAGCCCAGCTCGCTGAAGAACTCGCCAAGATCTACTACTACTCCTACTCCTAAGGGGTGGCCAGAGCCGAAAAAAAAAAGTAACTTTTATTGGATTGATTGTGTATCCTTTACAATAGCCGTGGTCCAATATTTATACCCGGAACCTACGCATGATTCCTATGTAAGCACGACTCATCATAATTTTTGGTCTAAGAGAAAACATTCCGAATTTAAGATAACTTGGACTCTAATCTTTCTCTTTTTGTAGAGTCCAAAATGCTTTGTCCCGGCGCTGATCATAGCCTTTGTCGTTATCTGCTGACGCTATCTGAAGAAAGCCGATTCCAGTGTTGCATTCGAATCAGCTGATATCGACTTGCACGCAATTGATTCTTTGATGACATGATCTTGGAAACTTTTGAGTCCCTGCGATTCTCCTTTTAAATTTTGGTGTAAACAAATATATTTGGAGTCCTAGATGCTGATACTATTTTTTATAAACTTGGCAAACTTTAGAAAGTTTTATCATTGCATTTTTTTTCTTTCATGAGTCATGAGTCTTTTTAAAAGCATCGTCACATCTTTAAAAATAAATTATGTAGTAATCTATTAAATATAGATAAAACTCTCATTAAAATTGGTCTAAGTAGTTTTTCTTATATTGCTTGAAATGTTTTTCAGTGAGCTTCCGAGAAGCAACTATATATAAATTTGAAATTTAAAATTCTAAATTTTATGACATTTCGAGTAGCAAGTAGGCAAACATTTGCTCCGTGGCACACAAGGAAAGGGACGATAGGAAGCGATAAGCCTTGTCAGTTAGGCGTCGCCATCACGAAGCAGTTGCTTCCCCATCACCACAAAACTAAATTACAAACTCAGGGAAACAAATCCACTCGCCGCGGAAACCTTTCCTTCTGGGCCTCGTCCGGTCGTCGGTCCCTTCACGCCCCTGAAATTGCTCGACCGCGTGGCGACTCGGGTCGGACGGATGCCGGTCGACGTCGAGGCGGCGATGGACCCACCTCAGCCGGCATCGGCGTGCAGCTCGTCGTCCATAGGCGGGGACAGCGACGAGTGCTCGCCGCCGGGGAAGGAGGAGGAAGGGGAGGGGGAGGTGCAGAGCGCGTACGCGGGAGGAGAAGGAGGGGCTGGCCTCGTGGGGTTGGAGGCATTGGAGGAGGCGCTACCAATTCGGTGAGTTTTTGCCAGTTTATTTATTTGATTGTTTATTTTTTTTATTCTTTTCTGATGTGGGTTCTGCAGGAGAAATTGGTTCCTTGGGGGGAATCTGTGAAGTTAAGCTTCTAATTTGCTTAGCTTGGTGTATTCCCTATTGATTTCTGTATGTTAATTTCCTAAAAAAAATATTCAGGTTAGTTTATTGGAATTTGCAGAGATTACTCTGTCGGTGTGATTCTGCTGCTTCTTTTGACAAATGGTACACTGCTAATTTTTGGGATCCAATGAGTATTTTCGAGATATTAGCTTTGTTAATTCACAAAGGAGGAAATGTGAGATTAAAGATAGGCTTGGATGTGACTATATGAGGTAGTAGAACCACGAATTGTCATTAGGTGCTTTGGCTAATAGACTAGATTAGCTATTATAAAAAAATGCCAAAATTGTTTTGGTGTTAATCTGCATAGTTTTCATATGCCTCTTTGCGGTGGCTGCTTCTTTTAATTAGGTCTATCTGCAATTTCACATATATCATTTTGTTTGAGTGACCTTGTGGCAAACTGTTCTGAAATAATTATCAGACTATCAAAATATCTGTATCGTTTGAGAGAAATAGGATCAAAGTAGGATCTTGCTTCTTCTGGATAATTCTGACATGTCAAGCTCATGCGTCAAGGAATGCTCCACTGTCTTCTTTGACATGTGATCGAAGTAGGACTAGTAGTTAGCTTTTATATTTAGGAGATGAGTGGTATTTGCATATATTAATGCTGCAACCATATCAACAGTTTCAATACATAATAATCAAACATTTCTTAGATTTAAACGTAGAACATGGAAATCAATTATTCATCTGGGATATCTGGCATGGAAAATGCATGTTAGTAATAATGGCACATTTTGGTTGAAACATTAAGCAGCTGAAAAGGACCTGCCTCACATGGTACCAACCAATCTTAAGCAGCAACTTTCAGTTGACAAAGACTGTAGTGGTTTGAGTGTCTCTGAACCACAGAAAATCAATTATTGGCTTATGAGCCACCAATAATATCATCCATACACTTCAGCATAAGTACTGTTCCCCCACAGCATATCCATGGTCTCACCAGCTTTGGATTGTTGTTTAGTCAAAACTCAAAACATGACCTTTGGTTTTTTTTTAAATCTTTGCTTTTTTATATTAATAATAATAAGAAAGGGAGTCTAAGAAGAGTATAAGACTTATACAAGCCCATTGGGGCAGGGTTTAATACATGGACCATGCCAAGGAAACAAAAAGGAAAACGACCACCAACATATACGTGCAAATGTCACTGCTGTATTAGCTTCCATACTCCACAAGATGGTCTCATCCATCTTGCATAATGACATTGAAATTAGGAGAGGTCACCTCACAGAAGCATCCATTACTGTGCTTCCATAACCACCAAGCGACCAAAATTACTAATGAGTTGAAGCCTTTGCAGTAGGGTGCTTTTGCAGTATTGCTTGACACTTACCACGAAGCTTGAAACCACCACTCAGTTAAAATAACATCATCTGGCCGTGGTGTTTGTTTCTGAAATGTGAAATCATACCAAGGTCTTCTTGAAACTGAAAATCCCTGTTCTTTATCACTACAGTATGTTTGAAATCTGAAACAGCATGCTTAATTCTTTCTGTAGGGGAGGGATTATGATATTCTTCCCGATAAAATCAACCAAATAGCATTGTGATGCTATTACTTTTGTGTGGAAAAATGCGGTCGGACTTCTCAACCCAGTCATCTGGCAGTTAACTTCGGTCTTTTGCTATATATATGCTCGTTGTTTGCATGATTGCTTCTACATATTGCTTTTCTGACAGATTTTTTTTTATTGGGCAGGCGCAGCATATCCAAATTCTATAATGGTAAATCCAAATCATTTGCGTGCCTTAAAGAAGCTATAACATTTTCAGGCTCTGCAAAAGACATTACTAAGGCAGAGAATCCATACTCCAGAAAACGGAAGAATCTCCTTGCCTACAGCATCATGTATGGAAATTCACATGAAACATCAGCAGCTCAAGTTTATGAAACTGCCCCCCCTAAGAGGCTTGCTAGTTTGAGTAGAAACTCTTTGGTGACCTTGGCTAGCAGCAGTTCGAGGAGCAGCAGCAGTATCAGCATTGAAGAGCACGAACTGCCCGAGCATCTCCATTCTCGGCGTTCACCTGATGGTTTTATATCCACACCACGATCCGGCTCTTGCGTGCCTAGCGCATCATCTGTGCCTATGAGGTCGTTGTCGATGATGGATTTGCATCGTCTGCCTAGGCCAAGTTCCCCAGTTCGTCTCAATGATAGGAAATACAAATAGACTTGGATTCAGAGGATTTTCCATTTGTTTTTGTCATCTTTTTGCTCGAGGTTTCTAGTACCATCTTCTATTATAGAACTTTGGTTGGCATGGAGGTTTCTGGATAAATAAGTGAGCGCTTCAAGTTTGGCGAGGAGGTATATGCGTGCTTGTATAATAGTTGTTTACTCCATTGTAAATTAGCATAATGTACTAATATGAATGCCTCTACTCATCTTCACCTGTAAATTAACAATTTCTTCTGATACCTTTGGATCGTCTTCTCCATCATGTGTAGATCAGACATTCAGATAGCGAGACATGGTTATGGCTTGCGGCTTGCCTGAATGTGTACAGACTACAGAGGCAACCTTGTCTATAAACTATACGACAGTGCCAGTGCCTAGACGGACGAACGGACGCGCGCGCTCCGAAGGTCGCCTGCACCTCCTGACCCCACACGGAGACCGCTTGCGCCCCCTCTGCTTCCCCTGCTTGGATGCCTGCTGCGGCATGTGAATCCCCAACAACACCCAATCAACAACAACACCCGATCTGTTTTAAACATCCAGATGAAACATTTACACTATACGTGTGAAGACATATGTGTGAAGACAGAAACACTTAAAACATGTGTCTGAAACACTTATAAAAACACATGAAAACACTTGAAAAGCCATTGAAAAAACATATGCAACACCCAAATAAACACTTACAACGAATGTGTGAAACACATGCAACATCCAATTTGAAAAACAGATAAAATATTTGGAACAAACGTTTACAATATATGTGTACAACCATTACAACATATATCCCGATCTACTTCTGCAACATCCATATAAAACATTGCAACATACCTTTGAAATAATTGACACTCTCGAAACATACTCTTGCAACATTCACTTTCAAGCACAACATCTACTTGCTGCTTGGACAAATGGAGGCTCGGTGTAGGGCCGGCTAGACATACCAGCAGCATGTCGGAGGCAGCACTAGCGGCGGCGATGTGCCGGCAGATATCCACCATGGCGAACGCATGCAGGAGATGGAGGGAGGGATGGCTCACCACGGTTATTGTCCTATGGCCGCGATGAGCTGGACAAAGGGGGGGGATTTGCTCGGTGAGCATGCATAGGGGGGACTATGAGCCTAAGGTGGCGTTGGTGGAGCTAGGAATGAGTCGCGAGAGGGTTAGAAGGAAAGGGAGCAATGGCGACTGGGGAGCTCCGGGCTTGGCCAGCCTTGTCCGCGCGTGCGAGCAGCAACCAGAGAGGGAGAGAGAGCGGCGCGACAAGAGAAGGGAGCGTGATATATATAGAGAGAGGGGAGCAGACATATTGGGCTCCGCAGACCCAGGAAGGCTGACGCTTGCGGTAGGGCATGGTGGAGAGGGTGGTCGCCGTTGGGCAACGAGCAGGAAGTCGAAGCAAGCGATGCCGGGCGAACGAGAGAGGAAAGTGAACAAGTAATACTGATATTTAGGGGAGAAGCTAGTACTATACGTACTATGGGTAGAGGGATGTGAGGTTGTTAGGCTGCCACGTTGCGCCCAGAGATTAAATTCGTCCGGACGGCCTAATCCTATCAATTCTGTAATGCTAATGCTCCACCACGGGTGTCCGTCCCTCGTTGGTCATTCCGGACGTGGCTAGTTGGGCTACGGACCGGCCACAAGCCTGCTTCCCTCATCGACATACACGGTTTCTCCAAAAAAAAAAAAAAAGAAAAGAGAGTGACATCTTATCTTCCCCATCGCATTGGCTCCACCACATCGCCCACCCTTCGGTCATGTGCTAGCGCCCGCGTCCACACGAGCGCCACCGCCGTCCGCATACGAGCGCCGCGGCTAGCCGCACACGCACGAGCTCTACCGGCCGCGCTGTGCTGCCCGCCCGTGGTGTGGGAGACCGCTGTCGCCTCCACCACGGGGCCGGACTCCTAGTCGTCACCCAAGAAGACCTTCGCCTCCGCCTGCCTAGCTCGCTGCAGCTCGGTGTGGAGATCACCCGTGTGCAGCTCATGGCAGCCTAGGCGGAGCCCACCCACGCACATCTCATGCCCGCCTATCCAGTTCACCGTGGCCGGGGCGGAACTTGCACGCATGTAGCCCGCAACGGCCAGGATAGAACTCCACATGCCGACAAGGATCCATTCTCCCAAGCAGCAAGGAGATGTTGCGCTGAAACTGCATGTTGCAAGCGTCTGTTTCAATTGTTTCAGAGGTATGTTGCAAGTATTTTATATCGATGTTGCAAAAGTAGATCGGGATATTGCACATGTTGCAACGGTGTTTTCAAGTGTTTGTCCCAAAATTTTCACCTGTTTCAGACGTATGTTGTAAGTTTTTAATCCAGATGTTGCAAAAGTAAATCTGGATATTGCATAAACATGCATGTTGCAATCGCATGTTTCAAGTGTTTCAGGTGTTTCATACGTATGTTGCAAGTGTTTTATCTAGATGTTGTATATATTTTGCAATGGCTACAAACGTATTTTCCTGGTGTTTTAGACGTATGTTGCAAGTGTTTCAATTATTTTAGACATATGTTGCAAAGTATTTCATCTAGATGTTGCAAAACTAGATCTGGTGTTGCACATGTTGCGGTGGGACCCGCTGTCGTAGCTGCCTACAGCAGCTGCTAGGCCCGCGTGCATGCATGTGGGAGTGGAGAGGGATGTGAATGGTAGGCTCGAGAAACGGAGCGGGCGTAGATCGAGACATGGCCCTCTCGTGGGCACGCGCAGGCATGGGAAAAGGAGCGGCGCGGAACCCACGTGAAGCAAGCGTAGGCGTGCGTGCGGGCGTAGCAGCATGGGACGCGGGCAGGCACAGCAGACGTGGGCGTCTGGACACTAGCCCCAGTTCGGACGTTTGGGCGCTAGCCTGAACCATTCCGTAAACTATAAAGACGCTTCCATAGTTTTTTTATACAAAATTGCATGTTGATCAATGGAACTACTATTGCTGAGTATGATTTTGGCCATTAAACTCCAAAACTAGATATCTTTAGCCATCGAAATATCGAAATCGTTCATAGGCCGGTTTCAAAGGGTTTTGCCTATATACCCTTTTAAAACAATATCGATTTTTCCTAAAAAATAATCTATCTATTGGTACTCTGTTTAGAGTTATTTGATCTTACTTGTTCTCGTTACTAGGTTTTTTATTTCCAGTAGACATGATTGTTATTTATTGAAATTATTTTTTGAGCTATAATAAACAAGAGATCAACAAAATTGATCTAATGGATTATGAGTAAATGGGATAGATCAAAGGTGACCCTAACCTCACAGATGGCATGCTTAACCACATATAGATCCTATTTGGGCATTGCATGGCTAGTGCTTTTACTCTATTTTGATCGCTTGACTAAACAATAGGTTTCAATAAGACATGGGCTCAAACGTCATGCAATCAACAAAAAGTAAATAAAGTAAATTGCAAAACGATAATTTAAGGCCTTGTTTGGCACAACTTCACCAATAGCTTCAGCGGTTGGTGAGCTGTTTTTTTGTCAAACGGGTCTTTTGAAAATAGCTTCACCAATGAAGCTCCTTAAGTCGTGCCCTCACATAGGAATGGGATGGGATGGAGGTTAATAGTAGCTTTTCACATCTTCACCTCACACTTATGGGCACTGTGTGAGATTGCGTGAGAGCATGTTTTAAGAAAAACTACATACAAAGTTGTTTTGCCAAACGGGTCTCCAAAGCAACTTTAACTTCATAGAGAAAGTTTCTCATGAAGTTGAAACTTAAAAAAAAGCTTCACTATTGAAGCTGAGCTATGCCAAATGGGCCTAAATAAGTAACCCTCGTGACTACAAGCAAAAAAAAATAGCAACAATAAGGAAGATCTAATTCTGTAATAATGAATCGTTAGGTGCAAAACTCTTACAGAGGTCGGAATAAAATTTTCCTTTTCTAAAAAGGAAGATCCAATGAACCCTAGATACAACACCAATAGATAGATTTTTTTAGATAATAGAAAAATTCCGGCTTCAGACTTCTTCTAAGAAGAAGCATCGGTCCAAATTTATTATAGTAGCACACTGATAATTAAAACTTATTATAGGTTCAGAACTAAAGTCAAGATGATAAATGAAAGACCATCCATGGCTCTCTATTCTAGAAGCTTGCAAGCGTCAAGAATCCGTTTCTTGCCGTCATCCGAGCGCTACAATAGAGCCCAAAACCATAACTAGTGTGTCCCCCTGAAAAGAAATTTTTATTTGGGTGACCTTTATCAAAAACCACATCATTCCTGGTGATCCATATTACTCCAGCAAAACGCCGCAGTAGCCCGGTCAATAAAAGATGATTATGGTTGGAACCTCCTAGCTTAGACCAACTATTGAAAAGATGGTTCGTGTTCCTTGTAGGATTAATGCCAAACAAAACAAACACAACACGCCGGAGAAAACTAGCATAATGGCAATCAAAAAAACAAGTGTTGGATAGTTTGTGTGCTACAAAAATAAGCCTTACTACCATTTCAATTCCTTTTAGCAAGATTGTCTTTTGTTAGTATCACCCCTTCTTTAAGAAGTAAAGAAAAATCTTAATCTTTAAGGGCACTTTCATATGCCAAATTTCCTGGGTAACCTTAATCCCGTTATTGACTAGGTATTTGAACATGGATTTAATAGAAAATAAGACATTATTATTTAAGTTCCAGATGAAAGTATCTCGACCCTCATTTAAGTTAATAAAAGCAACTCTCGCAACTAGACTTTACCATTCCAACAGCTTGTTCCTAACTAGTGCCCTTCTAAAAGACATATTAAGAGGGGTGGAATTAAGCAGCCTGTTTGGTTGGCTGGTTCGTTTCGTTGCTGGTTCGTGAAGAAGTACTGCTGGCTGGTTTGTGTGAGAGAAAAATACTGTTCCGGCTAGAAATTTACGATCGTTTACGACAAGCCACAGCCAAACGAAAAGGCTGAAGTACATCAGCCACTGTTGCTTGTTTCTTCCACACTATATTAAATAAATTCGGGTATTGGATTTTCAAGACTTGAGAGCTCAATCATTTATCTTCCCAAAATCTAATTTGAGTTCCATTGTCTAGTTTAAACTTCCCAAGACAAAATATCTTTGACTCTAGCAAACCATTCCATAATTGCGAAAACCCATTTTGCTTTTCAATTTGACTTAGAGTCTTGTTCTTTAGGTACTTGTTCCATATTAATTCCTGCCAAGTGCCCTTCTCATTGCAAAGTTTGAAAAGCCATTTGCTTAAAAGACACTTATTTTGTAAATCTAGATTTTAAATTCCTAAACCACCTTGCTCTTTTGGTTGGCACAAAATATTCCACTTTGCCGGTCTATATTTCCTTTTATGCTCATCATTTTGCCAAAAAACCTTAATCTTAAATATTCAATCTTTTTTAAACACCTCTCGGGACTTCAAAGAAAGACATCATAAACATAGCCAAGCTTGACAAAGCAGAGTTGATTAACACTAATCTACCCCCATATGATAAATGTTTTGCTTTCCACCCACTTAACTTCTTTTTAATTCTTTCTTCGATTAATTTCCAGTCCTTGTTATATGACTTGTATGTTTGTGCCACATAGGTCCATGAACTTGAAAATGCATTTCTGGATCCCTAAACTTGTTAAGCGGTGCATGCCAGCCACACGGATATTTTTTTTGCTAACATGACATGCTAGTATGGCATGCATTTTTTAATTAACCCCTCACATTAGTTATCCTTATTAAAAGTAGACCCTTCTCTCTCTCACCGTCCCGCTTGCTGGAGCAACGCGCTGTCAAGACCGTGGCCGCGTGTCGCTCACGCTCGCCGTCGCCCACCTCACCATGGCATACAGCGCCTCCTGCCGCATGTCGCTCGCGCCCGCCGTCGTCCACCTTACCATGGCATACAGCGCCTCCTGCCGCATGTCACTCGCGCCGCCAACCAAGGCCGTCATCGTGTTCTACATTGCCAGTGCCAGACTCGAGTGGCAGGGGAAGGGCCACCTCGTCTTCGTCGAGGCAATGTCGCCGTGTTCTGCATCGGCGTCACGTATGGCTTCCGCTCCCACTTCCTGCCCGGGCGAGGCATGTCGACGTACGGCACCGCCGTCGCGTCCTCCTCCGAAGCCCCTGTCTACCTGCCGCCCTACAACCATCTCACTCGCATGATTCGCTGCTGCGGGAAGAGAACATGTAGCAACCTCTGTGGAGCTCTAGATCGGACGCTGAGGGTCCCCTGTATCTGTCAGACGTGCGCGACTACGCTAGGGATGAAGTGGCATAATGTCGAGCACCAGACGGCCATGGGGGAACATGCTCACAAGAACGACGAAGGCCCCTACCGATGGCCTCGGTCGCCACCTCTCGCGCGGCGGCCACGCACCCGAGGCCACGCGTGGAGGAGCTCGGGTCGGCCTTCCCCTTGCGGCTTCGTCTGTTATAACCCACGCAGGCACGGGGCAGAGCAGGGGGCGGACGACGGACAACGATGATGCGGGGCTCCTCGTGTGCGCGCATGGCCACGTAGCATGCGGCGTAGGCGGGCGTGGCCGCGGTCGGGTACTCGGGTGCGGCTACGACCTGACGGGGGACCTTCGCTTGGGCCACGCCAAGCCTGGTGGCCACCTCGTGGACCTCGACACTGCCGGTTTGGGCCCTGATGCGTCCCCGCGGGAGATGGCGGGCGTGCCGGCCGGGGTCGTCGCTAACAAGGGCGAGCGCACGTGGTTCCGCACTTCCACTCCGATGTGCTCCCCTTCGCCGAGATGGTAGAGCAGGTGAACCGGTCGTTGTCACCGCAGTTGCAGCCACCACGTCGCTGCCACACGCAGCCTTTGCTTCGACGCCCGCCTCGTCGAGCTCTATAGTGTCCTCTGGGACCGAGTCAACCAAGCAGAACCTCCCGCCCTTCGAACGCATGCAAGAAGCTAGCTAGCTGGCAAGCCTCCAGAGGCCATGCATCTGGTCTCGCCGGCGATGGAAGCACGTCTACATCCAGATCGTCCATCCACCCTCGCTGCAACACCGCTGATTACTATGGGGATTCATCGTTGAAGCCGTAAGACATCATGTTTTTTCATCCATCGACGATGTTCTTACCATGAGACGAAGTCCGATCTGCTTGTTTAGCACGCGCTCCGTCTCCTTACCTCGGCCGGTGCTCTACTCTACCTACACGCTAGGCGTGCACCGGTGGTGTCCGTGCGCCAAGCCGGCCGTACAACCCGCGTGCCCGACTGACTACGCGTGGTGCGCCCTGCGCCTGCGACCACACTTGAGCTCACGGCAGGCAGCCCGCACAACCTCCTAGCTGCAGCCCTACGCGTCCTCCGCGCCCGAGTGCCCGCGGCCTCCCTCGCGCGACCTCCGTGCCCGTCGGTGGCGGCCAACCCCGTACGGCCCCTACGTCGGCGATCGGCAGCCCGGCGGCAGGTGACCTGGCCAGCGGCAGCGGCCTTGCTCCAGCCAGCAGCAGAGGAGCTCGCGCGGCTACTGCGGTGTCAGGAGGCTTGGCCGAGGGGCGTGGAGTAGCTTGCGGCCACGGTCTCGACAGCGTGCTCCAGCAAGCAAGCGGGACAGTGAGAGAAAGAAGGGTCTATTTGTAATAAGGATAACTAATGTGAGGGGTTAATTGAAAAATACATGCCATGCTATCATGCCACATCGGAAAAAAATTGCCACGTGGCTGGCATGGGCCTGCGGTGCACCGTTTAACAAGTTTACGGACCTAAAAATGCATTTTCCAAGTTTATGGACTTATATGACACATGTATACAAGTTCGAGAGCCGTTGGTGCATTTAACTCATTCTCCCTTATGGAAATATGTGAACAAAGCCATCAGATCATCCTTAATTACATTCCAGAATACCTGATAAAACTCTTGAGGAAAGCCATCGGGACCTGGAGCCGTATTATGGTTCAATTGGAAAATTGCACCTCTAATCTCCTCCGTGAACTCAGCAACCAAGAGATCATTTTCCTCAGCTGTAACTTGAGGGATGTCATCACGGTATGACTCATCCATCACCAAATTGCTATGATCAGATGGCCCGAATAAATTTTTTATAGTAAGTGGTGATATAATTTTTAAGCTCAGCGTCACTGTGAATTAAACCTTCCTCATGCTAGTTTTCCTGTGTTTTCCATTTGCTACTAACTGAAAGTATTTTGTATTGGCATCCCCTTCTAATAAATTCTTTACTTTAGCACGTTGGTACCATTTTATTTCTTCCTCTTGTAGAAGTTCGGACAATCTTTCATTCAAGACATACTTAAGATTCGATTCATTTTGATCTAACAAAGTTGATTCAGCCTTTTTATCCATAAAAAAGAAGTATGGTACCTGTTTTATATTTTGTATTTAAAATGAATTAGTTATAAATTTCTAGACATTTAACCATATTTTTATTGTTTTTATGCAAAACCACCTTTGAAACCCATCGAGGACCAAAGTTGACCGGTTTTTCATAGTTCCATTGTCAAAGATATCCTATTTGGAATTTAATGGCCAAAATCAGAGTTGGGTAATAGTTTGATGGCTAAAAGTAGACTTCTTATGTGGAGAAGAGTGAGCTTCATTGACGATGTGTCTATATGAATTTTGGTAATGATCAACGGGAATTCACTATCTCATAATTTTGATAATGATAAATGAGAACCCACTGTCTCATGGACTAATGGGCTATTGACTACCCAAAGTACTTATAAGTAGAGTCATATTTATGAAACATTGGTAACCATTGATCAGACATTGGTAAAACCAAAAGGAATAGTTTCAGGATAGTGACTAAATCATAACAAATTAAAGATAACAAAACAAAGAGACAAATAAACAGAGTTTAACAGAACATAGATCTTCATCCAGTGCAACATCGCTTTAGTTCAGCGGAGTAACTAGGCAGTGTTCGGCTGAGCAACAAGCCAGCATGTTCGGCTTCTTTTTTCAGCCGAAGCAGTGTTTTTCTCTCACATTCTTGTATGAACAGTGTATTACTCCCTCCATTTTTAAACATACTATGTTTAGGACAAGCTAATTAGTTTATTTTAAAACAAATTAGCTTCTCCTAAACATCATACATTTAAAATGTAGAGAGTACATAGATTATTCAAAGCTGGTTTAACTTCAGGAGGAAACTCATGAGCCCTTTTGTCTCTCTCTTATTCTCCGGCTACTAACTACTATTACTGCACCGTTGCACTCCACGAATTACTCGCGGCCATTGTTGAAATCCCCAGTGCTGTCCATGAACAAATAATCATCCAGGACGTCAAGGTTGTCATCAGCACCGCCGATCAGCGAGGTCCCTGCAGCATCGCCGGCGGTCCCGCCAGCTGCGCCACCCTGCTGGTAGTCTACGCCGGCCTCATACACGGGAGCATCATCCAGCCCCAGGAGAGCTTCCAGTGGGAACATGGTGTTGTCGTACTGATCAGGAGAAAACATTGCCTCGAGCTCGAGGCCAGGGTTCCCATCCATCGCCGCGCCAGGTCCCGGAGACCCCATGAGCGATGCACTGATGGCTTCCAGCGCTCCTGGTGCAAGCTGATCACCATCTGGCGCCGCGGCGAGATCCTGAGGCGCCGTGAACGATGCTTCGTCGTTGGCGTTGCTGAAAAATGCTCCTTCTGCCATTGTCAGCTCATTCACATTCGAAGCCATTTTAAGAACCTGATTAGGGGGCATGAGTGATGTGCTGTAGGTGCTGAAGTCGTCGCCATTGTTGAGTACTTCTTGTCTGGCTGCTGCTGCATGTTTTGGTGCCACACCGTGACCAACATGCTGAGGCGCCACGGCTGCTGCAGCGCTGTAGTTGATGTAGCTGTTGGTGTTGAGTGCGCCCGTGGCTTCTGCCCTATTTGCTGCCAATCCTGCCATCACACCGTGACCAATTTGCTGCGGCTGAGGCGCCATGAGTGCGCTAGAGCTGTCGCTGTACATTGCTGCTGTAGCTGCTGCCTTGGCCACCGGTGGATTGGTGGACTCAGAGTACATGGCCATCGTGGCTGAGAGCTCGTCGTGGCCATCTGGTTCTGTACCAAGGTTCAGGGTCCGAAGAAGAAAAGTGGCGGCGTTGCTGTGCTCTCCTGCAGCTGCAGCAGAAGCTCCGACGGTTGCGCCACCGACGCTCTCAGTCCCACTGTATCGCGGCAGCGGCAGGAACGACATGGCCTGCTTCAGCACGGGCGGCGGCGGGCCCTGGTATGGGAACGGCCCGAACATCAGCGGCGGACAAACGTTCTGCTGCTGCTGGTTGCCGTTGCCGCCGCGGGAGAACTCCGGCTCGTATGTGACGGTGGTAGCCATGTGGTTTGCTACTGCCGTCGGCGGTGCGATGTTGCCAAAGGCGACGTTGCCGGCCGCGGGTTGGTTCCAGCGGGGTGGTGTAGCAATGGCCTCGATAGTAGTTGCTGCCGCGGGTTGCTGCTGCTGCTGGCGCACCAAAGGTAGCGCTGCTTTCTGGGTCGCAGGCTACAAAAGAAGAGGAAATATGTACTCGTGTAATGTAACTTTTAGATTGACAATGGAGTAGTAGAACTTTTCAGAAACTAAGACGACACGTACGATAACAACTAACTACAAACTATTCCCACAATCCAGAAATGATAGGAATATTCGATCATAGGAAAAGTCGTACAAAATAGATGTTAAGCTATAATTTCTCTTATAGTATATAGTCATTTGCTAAAGAATTAATATCATCTTAGAGTCACTTTGAAGTTTGAACACAAATCTATTGTGTTAGATATGAATGTGCTGTGTGCGTGTGTACGGGCCTCCTGTGGCTGTGCCTAGATAGATTAGGATAGGCAGGTTATCCCTTGATTAGTTCTATTTCTATAAACCTCTCCCAAGAGCTGTCTATATATTTGTATACCTTGTATACCCTAATCAATCTACTATTTTCGAAGCCTCACTGGTGCTCTCTAGTATCTCACCTTCACTCGCCCAGATATTGCTCATGCTGTTCAGCAGGTCTGTCTCCACATGCATGATCCTCGAGAGCCGCATCTTGCTGCTTTGAAGTGCATTATGCGGTATGTTCGTGGCACTCTTCACTTGGGTTTGCTTCTACGGCCCTCTACTCAGTCGGATTTGCTGGTCTACTCCGACGCTGATTGGGCTGGCTGCCTAGACACCCGAAAGTCCACTTCCGAGTATGCGGTCTTCTTGGGCGATAACTTGGTCTCCTGGTCATCCAAGCGTCAGAATGCAGTCTCTCGCTCGAGTGCCGAGGCCGAGTATCGGGCGGTTGCCAATGCCGTTGCCGAGGTCTCTTGGTTGCGCCAACTCCTTGTTGAGCTGCACGTTCCTCTGCGTCGCACCGCCCTTGTTTACTGTGATAACATCAGCGTTGTTTACATGTCTTCGAACCCCGTTCAGCATCAGCGCACCAAACACGTGGAGATTGATCTACACTTTGTTCGTGAGCGCGTTGCTACCGGTGATGTCTGCGTTCTTCACGTTCCGACGAGCTCTCAGTATGCCGACATCTTCACCGAAGGCCTGCCTTCTTCGGTGTTCACGGAGTTCAAGTCCAGTCTGAACGTTCAGGCTCCCGACGATCAGACTGCGGGGGAGTGTTAGATATGTATGTGCTGTGTGCGTGTGTATGGGCCTCCTGTGGCTGTGCGCCAGGCCCAGGCCGGCTTCCTGCCGTGCCTAGATAGATTAGAATAGGCAGGTTATCTCTTGATTGGTTCTGTTTCTATAAACCTCTTCCAAGGGCTGCCTATATATTTGTATACCTTGTATACCCTAATCAATCTACTATTCCACACAATCTCTATTGCTTTCATATTGAAGCAAGTTTTATGTTCTAGATTTGCATATAATTTTGATTAATTGTTGGTCAAACTTGATACTTATATGACTATCTATGAATTTTAAGATCAAACAGGGATGAATTGGACATATAACCTTTTATATGCGTTTAAGATCAACCAAAATTTAATTGGATAAACTTTCTCCCTTCAGTCAGAAATGAGGATCTAAACCTAAGAAAAAAAATAAAATAATTGACAACTTTGAACAGTCCATTTCTAGAAAAAACATTCACAACCATAAACAGAGTTAGGGTGCATTCGATAGGGATCCAAATTTTCTTAGAAGCATTTTAGATCCAAATTATCCCAATAAAGGTTTCATGTGATGAATTAGAATCACTTCATAAAATCATTTGGCTAGTAGGTTGAATTCTGATTCATATGAAGATATATATTTTCTTAAAGAATCATATAAATAAAAGTGTGCTTCAAAAACTTCTGAACTTTTTGTGGGTGAACTGTAACTTAAATACAATACAATCTTAATATGTGCACTAAAAAAGAATTACAACCGAAAAAATAAAATTGGTAGCCCATAAGTGCAGCAAGGAAACCGAAACGATTCTGTGAGAAACCACCCTTTCCTAGTTTCTAACTTCGCTGAAGAAAAAACTGAACAGAATCCTTGCGAATCTAGGCAGCACGTCACGGTTTCGAGCCGTTCTAGTTAATAACGAATCCGATTCTCATGTCCAAATGGGGCCTTATAAGTTATAACAATGTTCATGGCATACTCCTTGGTAAAAATTATACATATACTACTACTTTCATTTGAGAAGCAACTTATTTGAACATATAGAAATATAGTAGTTTTACAGTCAAACTTCAAATTAGTTTGACTGCATGACCGAGGGGCAACTGAAAACATCTGTACTAAATACTGGAGATATACTTGGGCCACGTTTAGTTTGGTGTCCGATTCGGCGCCGCCAAATTCAGGGAGGTAGTAACGTAATGTTTGACTACAATTGCTATATTTCAGTTACAACCAAATGGTGCAATTATTTTTTGATTTACAACATTTATAACCACACATATGCCAAATGCTGGAACTAAACAGGGCCTTGCTTACCAGAAGTAGGTAGTAACGCATGTTTGACTACAATGCTATATTTCAGTTAAATATGGAGATAGTCTTAAGCTACTGCATAACCACACATATATGCTTACTACCATTAAGTAGTAACACATACAGGCTCGCTAGCTAGTAATTCTTTTAAGGAAGGACAAGAGATTTATCAAGATTTTTATTAGACGGCAGAAAAGGAAAATAAAAAGAGAGAGGTATGTACAACACCACCTAAAGAGTTCAACTCATCAGAACAATTAAAGAAACAGGTGCACCTGACCTGTACACATGGGGGCCAAGGTTCACCAGTATGTGTAGGGCAAAATGTAGGAGTTACTGTTTCTAAATTTCCAAATTTTAGTAGTAATCGCCATAACATTATGCCCAATGTAGTTCTGATAAAAAAAAAAAAGGATGCAACTAGTGTTCGTATAAACAGGCAAAACGGATTTTTAGAAGAAACTGGCACCTAGTTGCTTCCAAAATGCAATACTGCAAAAAAGACGTAACTAGCCAATATTCGCCCAAATTAAATGGGCAAACGAATTTAGAAGAAATTGACACCTGTTGCTGGGTAGACACGGCGTCCCTCTCGTGCTCTCCTGTCACGTTCATCTTCCCCTGTCTCTTGCCTGTCTGGCCTCCTGCTTGATAAAAGGAGAGAGTTGACTATGTAGAGAAAAGATTCATAATATATGTTTTAGAATTAATTACTGTACTCCTTCCGTTTCAAATTACAAGTCATTCTAACTTTTTTGGAGAGTTAAAGTATTTCAAATTTAACTAAAATTATAAAAAATATTACAATGATTTATGACATCAAATGGGTACTATGAAAATATAATTAATGAAGAATTTAATAATATTTATTTGATATCATAAATATTATTATTTTATTATATGAATCTGGTCAAACTTGAGATATTTTGACTCTTAAAAAAATTAAAACGACTTATAATTTGAACCGAGGAAGTACCATACAAACAAACAGATTGAACAAACTTTTGTCATTGTACGTGCTTCTACTGCATAAATATTGGTGTGGTACAGATATGTCATATATGACGGGAAAAAATAGACCATTTCTGTCCTCTGTCAGCATTAAACAAAACGACGAGCATGAGAGTGCGGTGCTTCGATGAGGAGATATCAACCGTACCTGTGACGGTGGTCCCGGAGGAGCCGGCGGCGACGGTGTTGCAGCCGCTCTTCCTCTTGCGGCCTCTCCCGCCGGCGCCCACCACCTTGAAGTGGATCCGATCTTCGTCTTCCCTTTCCTCGTCTACGACGGTGGTGGAAATGGAGCCGCCGGCCATAAATGCGTGAACGGCGGCGGCGGGAACCACGCGGCGGCCGTCGTCGGCCCCTTGGCCTTCTTCTCCAGGTAGCACTTGCGCCACGCGATGACCATCCACAGGTCACAGACATCGTTGGCCTGCAGCGGACTCCTGAGGACGTAGGTCGAATCCCTGAGCGTGCGGAGCAGCTCGTCCGCCTCGTCGCCGGTGGCCACGTGATCCCGCGACAAGACTACGTAGTATGCATGCACCAGTAACAAAATGATTAGTTAAGCTTTTCCTCTTTCACTACTGCTTGATGTGATGCAATTTTATTCGTAGGTGTGCGTGCGTTGATCGCCATGGCAGCGTGCTTACAGTAGATGACCGGGATGGCCAGATCGGACTCGACAATGCCACGGAAGTCGAAGCCGCAGGTGGTAGACTTCTCAGCGTTGACGAGGACCACGTCGACGTCTTTGTTCTTGTCTCCAGAGAGGAACTTAAGTGCAGATGTAGGGCTCCCGCAAGAGGCCACTGCAAAGAGAGGTGTGGCAAGTGACACGTGAAACCATGATGCCCATAAAATTAGGGGTTATGCTGGCCAAAAAAAATGAAGAAAAGAGAGGCTTTTTTTAATCTCTATATCTCTATCTCTATATCTATCTCTACCTCTATCTATAATAATTAATAATAATAATTTATAAGCGACAGTTTCTTCCAACCCGTTTCTTATTTTCAAAATACCCCTGTGCCCTTCATATGTCCAATATGTGATCCGGACTCATACAATGAAATCCGATTCCAAGACATATATTGGGTCTCGTTGCAGCACGGGCACGTCTGATAGTAATGTTAAAAAGAGATCTTGGTGGCTCACAGTTCATAATTTAACAAAAGTGCAGTAAATTATGCAATAGGAATAAAACTATTTTCTTTAAGAAAAAACAGTGAGATATTTAAAAATTGGCACAATTCTTTGATTTGAATCTTGCTTACTCAAAGGTATATATATGAGAAAACTCGCACAGGAGAATGAGGGATATCATTTTCCCCCAAGAAATAAGGGTTAATAAACTTGGTCTAAAACATGATCTATCTTCAAATATGGAAGAAACACGAAAAAAACAACATGACATAAATAAACACCGAGTGCACATCATTTGGCCATGGTATAATCTCCCGTCACTCTTCTAAAAATTTCCACCACAGATGTTGAAGAAAACATCATATTTTTACCTATTTTCTATAGATATTAAATGGAAACAGCAGATCTCATGCCCAAAAACTCTCCAAACAAATACCCAAAATACATATAGCTTCACTGCATCTTCTTGAGGAAAACATACTTCAAGAAGATCTATAATTAGAAACCTTATTGCCAACTCAAAAGATCACAATTACCTTTGAAGTTTAGGAGAGAAAGAAGCATAGAAGATGACTTGATGAACCTTGCATCATCGTCCACAATCAAGGCTCTGATGCCATTGGGGAACATTGCTGTCATCTCCCGGTTCATTGAGGCACACACTAGGGTGTGTGTGGACTCATGAGAAGGGATCGTGACTAACCTGTTTATTTATAGGCTAAGGGAGGGGATGGGTGGGTGTTTTTTTGGGGGGGGGGTTTGTTGAGAAGGCCATTTTTTAAAAAGCAGTGGAGAAGTGTTAGACCAGTGATGGATTGGATAAACAATAAAGTCTAACAACCTTCTTCGCTTGTGCTTCTTTTGCAACTTTTGGTTCAGAGAATGAGTAATCTTCAAAAAGCTTAAACTTAGCAGCTATATGATAGAACCAAAACTAACTTAATACGAGGAAAAAGAGCATCATGTGTACTAAATAATCTTTCTTTATCTCTCATAAGAGTACGTGATGAATGTAGGCATGACTCTATCTCTATTGACACACACTGACACACATTGCCTTATTGGTCATCTTAAAAAATGTTTTCTACTCCATGTGTGCTAAGTTTGTCCATTGGATTACGCGAGTTTGTATGTTGCAATAGGAAGTATCCATTTAAATTCCAATGCATCTGTCTTCATTTGACAAACAACATACGCCAACTACCTATTTTGCAGATTGCAATTCATTCGCAGCCTTGTATGGTCTTTGGTTCTCTCTCTTTCTTCAAATAATTATTTATTACTCCTCCCATCTATATATGATAAACAATTACTTGTTATTCTCCCCTTTCTCTCTAGAATGAGTACATAATGAATGCAGACATGTATAATTCTATCTCTAGTGGCTTCATTCTTTCTCTAGTGACTCCACTCTATCTCTAGTGACTTCATTCTTTCTATAGTGACTCTAGTCTATCTATAGTGACTCCATTTTATCTCTTGTTACTTGTACATTGTCTTACTACTTATATTTAATTATGTTATTATGTTCCATCATGCAGAGTCTATCTACTTGCTTTTGTGAGTTCATATGATGGAAAAGTATCCACTTGAATTCTTATCACGCATTTGTAGTGTGTGGTTTGACTTGCAACATCTACCATGAAACTACCCTAAGTTACAATAGAATCTTTGAGCTCATAGTTCCAAACCATCTTTGCTTGTTGCCTATTTTGTAACTTTTGCCTATTTCTAGCATCTCTCTTATCTCTACTGACTCGCACATCACCTTTTTGACCGAAACAGCAGGAGAGTCCCCTACCTATTTTTTTTAGCTTTTCCATTAAATGAAAGAATAATATTTACATGAATTAAAATACAAGGCACATATGCCCAAAGTAAAAAAAGCAAACTATAACAAGTAACTATCTCTCCATAAAAAGTGTTTTTGTTCCATGTGTGCAAAGTTTGTCTATTAGATTGTGCAAGTTTATATGTTGCAAAAGGAAGTGTCCACTTCAACTCCAATACATGCATCTCTATTTGAGTAAAATATATTTTGCAACTACCCAATTTTGTGGGTCCCTATTGATGCGAAGCCTCATATGGTGTTAGCTCTCTCTCTCTAATAATTATCTCTAGTGACTTCATTCTATCTATAGTGACTCCCTATCTCTAGTTACTCCAGTCTATCCGTAGTGACTTCACTTTATCTCTAGTTACTTGTACATTGTCATACTACTTATATTTGAGCATGTTATTATGTTCCATACATGCAAAGTTTGTCCACTTGCTTATGTGATCTCCTATGATGGAAAAGGAAGTACCCACTTGAATTCTTACCATGCATTTGTGTGTGGTTTGACTTGCAACATCTACCATGAAACTACCTTAAGTTACAATAGAATCTTTGAGCTCTCAGTTTAAAACCATCTTTGCTTGTTTCCTCTTTTGTAACTTTTGGTTTAGAGAATATCATAATAGTAATCTCCATGGATAAAATTAGGATTTGTATTATATAATCAAATTAACTTGCATGGTAAAAATAACATCAAGTCTAGTAAATAATCTACCTCTCTCTCTCTGTGTATTAAGAGTTCAAGATGATTTCTAGCATCACTCTTATCTCTACCGACTCACACATCGCCTTATTAGTCGTCACAAAAGTGTTTATGTTCCATGTGTGCAAAGTTTGTCTACTAGATTGTGCAAGTTTATATATTGCAAAAAAAAGTATCAAATCCAATACATACATCTCCATGTGAGTAGAAATATTTCCCAACTACCCAATTTTCTAGTCCCTATTGATGCGCAGCCCCATATGGTGTTTAGCTCTCTCTCTAATAAATACTTATTACTCGCCTCCTCTCCTATCTACATACTCCCTCCATCCCAAATTATAAGACATTCCAACTTTCTTGGAGAGTCAAATCATCTCAAGTTTGACCAAATTTATATAATAAAATATTAACATTTATCATACCAACTAAGTATCATTAGATTCTTCATTAATTATATTTTCATAATATACCTATTTGATGTCATAAATCTTTGTAATTCTCTCTATAATTATGGTCAAACTTGAGATGATTTGACTCTTCAAAAAGTTGGAACGACTTATAATTTTGAATTGAGGGAGTAGTAAATTATTTGCTACCCCCCCCCTTCTCTCTTGAATGAGTACATAATAAATGCAGCCATGCAGGCATATATAGTTGTATCTGTAGTGACTTTGTTCTATCTATATTTTATCTCTAATGAGTTGTATATTGTCTTACTACTTATATTTGATGATTTTATTATATTCCATACATGCATAGTTTGTCCACTGTCTTATTGAGTTCATATGTTCGAAAAGGAAGCAGCCACTAGAATCCTTGTTGTCATGCATTTGTGTGTGGCTTGACTTGCAACATCTACCATGAAACTACCCTAAGTTACAAGAGAATGTTTTAGATAATTGCTTTAAACCACCTTTGCTTGTTTCCTCTTTTGTTATTTTTGGTTAAGAGAATAATAATCTTCATGGCTAAAATTAGGATTTGTGTGATATAATAAAATTAACTTGCATTGAAAAGTGCCACAAATCTAGTAAATAATCTCTCTCTCAAGAGTACAAGATGATTTCTAGCATCACTGTATCTCTACTTACTCACACATCATCTTATCAGTCATCATAAAATGTGTTTTCCACTCCATGTGTGAAAAATCTGTCTACTAGATTGCTCAAGTTTATATGTTGCAAAAGGAAGTAAACAATTCAACTCCAATACATTTGTACAAGCATGATCTCTATCGGTGTGTTGAGGAAGCTCTAGAAGGTTGTGAATGCATAGCACTTGGTTACATGACCTGAAGAAAGACACCATTACAATATTGGTGACCTAGAGGATGAAGAGCAAGAGGGAAGAAATGCTAGATGTAGTAAGCCACATGGATGTTGTGCTTCCTTTAATGATGCTATTTCAATATATACTAGTTGAGTGTCTGTGCGTTGCTACGGGTAAAACATCTCATGACATACAACCACATAAGTAAAATATATGTAGAATCCCATGTCATCACAAATAATTAACATTAAACACATAATTCAAACTAAGAAACCAGTACGATGTTATTGACTTCACCTAGACAGAGGAAAAGGAAGCGACAATTCATTGTTTTTTTGCGACAATTCATTGTTTTTTGTTTGTGAGACTAATATAGCGTCGAAGATAATCTCGTACACCTTTAGGTATGTTGGCTGCGTTTTGGTTCCCCGTGTATGTGAGTAGGTATAGCAAGATGAGCTTCCTCACTTCATAGTTATCCTACTTATCCTACTAGATTTTTATACACATATATAGTAAAAATGTATGTAGGTGAAAAAAAGGAAAATTATATACAAAGGATAATACTCACATTGCAAATGGATGTTTCTATCCTTTTGTCATTCCACGTACGCATGGCAAGTAGAACATTATAACCAGATGAGTCCTTGAAGAAGCATTAAATTGTTACTATTGTATATATAGTAGAATATAAAGGAGGAGTTTCCATTGCAAAAGTAGTTACCAATTTAACTCAAATTGGCTGACTTCTGCAACTCTATGGTCAAATAGGATTAAATCATCTTTCCACCAAGGGCATGATACTGGTAAATGCCCGTGTATCTTGTTTACCTCCATTAGTAGTGTTAGTCTTATCACCCAATGGTGCAGGAGAGCCCCTATTTTTCATTGAAATAACCCATAATTGCCTGTAGTCTACCTATTCCTTCAAAACAAAAAACATAGAGACCATTAGACCACACCCATATGAGCTTCATGCCAATTCAGGACCAACATATGTGTTCTACTCTATCTCTGCCATCAAACAAAAACTCCAGAGTTACTGATGCATTCAGGTACTATTTGTATCCAGTTACTTATTCTCAAATTCTCATACCCAAGCAATAATTTGGAGGAAGGGAAAAAGAAATACAATGACAAATAGCCAAGCACACACAGAACCTTGACTAAATATCTCAATCATCTAATGGTTGACTAAAGAATTTGTTATTTGCCATAGGGTATACCAGCAATATAGCAGGACCTGCTATGCATAGTCTAAAATTATGATATGGTAATGCAGGTTCAGGGACAATTCCCAAAAGAACAAATTCAAGGAGATATGCTTCCACAAAGAATTTGTACTGAGCCGGACGGCATACCAGCAATTTGGATGGACCTGCTATCCATAGTCTAAAATAATGATATGATAATGCAAGTAACAACTGCATCTTGGGGGATCTTATAGCATCAGAACAGACATGCTAGTGAACAGGGTATAGTTAATCGCTCCATCAGATATGTTTCAGTCAAGCAAAGTATAGGTTCCATGTACCCCAACTTTGGATATAGACCAAAGCTTCAGGAAGCAACAGATAAATATAAATGTCCTATAGCATATTAAGTTTATCAACTGAAATGGATACACACAAGCAAGCGAACGCTCAAGTTGAGGAGAAATCGACACACAAGCAGCTATGAGAGGTAGATGCAGTAGTGGTGATGTATCGAACCATCGAATAAATCAAAAGTCTGATCATTTGAATGCCATCAACCACAGAATAATCAGTACAAGCAAGTGTCACAGATAACACATATGAAACTGATTCTAGAGAAAATAGATTCAGAGATACTTGAGATACC